AGGAGAAAGATGGACAATTTCCTTCCTTGGGATTTCAAGCCTCCAAAGGACATTGGAGGACCAGCTATGAGTCAGTTCTGACTTGAGAGTAACGTATTGTCTTTTTAATCTGAAGCCCTGATGATGCAGAGGTTAAAAAAAAATCAGCTACTAATTGAAATCTAGTCTCCTCTGATATCCATTTTGTTCTCTTCTTTCTCCCATCATGATGACCTTTTGATTTCTCTCTGGATGATATCCTTTGTTATCCTATATCTTACCTGCTTATCGATCATGAGTGTTCGATGCCCTAAAGCTATTTTTGCAATGGTGATGGTTTTCAAATTCATTTGCCACCGACTCAAGGTGGTATTTTGGTTCTTGTGGATTTGTTTTCATTTTCTTCAGCTTCAATTTGAAATTCCCATTAGTGGATTATGGTCTGTTCCACCACAAGCACCTGGTGTGGTATTGACTGCTGGTGTAGAGCTTATCAAATGATTCTTTTCATGATGTAGCCAATTTGGTTCCTGAGTAGTCTATCAAGTGAGGTCACTTGGTATGCCTTTTGTGTTTTGTTTTGTTTTTAAAGATATTTGCAATGAATAAATCACTGATTGTACGTAATTCAATCTTTCAATTTCCAGGCTCATTTCTGTCACTAAGTCCATAATTTATGACTACCAAGTATTTCTATTCTTTTCCTATTTCATTCCAGTCATCAATTATTACAAATGAATATTTATTGCATGTTCAATCAAATTCAGACAGCAAACGTTGATAGAAATCCTGTTCTTCATCTTTGGCTTTAGGTGTTAGTTTGTATATTTAAATAATAGTTGTAGTAAAATTATTTGTGCGTGTATGAATAGTATCCTATCACTCACAACACTGTACTTCAGAGATGGATCTTGAAATGATATTTTTTTACATATTGCAGGAGTCAACCTTCCCTGTTCAAAGTAAGGCAGTACTTGAAACATTTGCAGCAGAAGATCAAAGACTACAGCCTTTGATATGGATTATGTCTCAACATTAATAAAAATCCTCACCAGTGGACCAAAAGGCACGTCAGGATAGAAGGAGAAAAGACTCGAGTTTCTAATAATTTCATCTTACTTGGAACCACAATTAATACCATTGGTATCAGCAGTCAGAAAATCAAAAGATGAATCACGCTGGGAAAATCAGCTGTCAGGACCTTTCCAGTATACTCAAGACCAATGATGTCAGTTTAAAAACCAACATGCAAGTGATCCAAGCCTTAGTCTTCTCAGTTACTTGCTATGCATCGGAATGTTGGACAGTGACTAAGGATGGCAGAAGACAATTGATGGCTTTGATTAACTGTAGAAAAGTACTAAAAATCCTATGGACTGCTGATAGAAAATACAAGACTGTCTCAGAGAAAGTGAAACCAGGGTAGTCCTTGGAGGCAAGGATGGTGAAACTTTATCTCACATACCTTGGGCATATTGTGTCTGGGTCAGAATCAGGCTACAGTCAAGAAGGATATAAAGAGAGGATAGATGTGGGGCAAAGCTCAAGATGAGTGCTAGGATTGGACTCTATCCAATCAGAACCAAAGACATTGGACATAGGTTGTAGCGGCTGCTTTCAATAGTGATATTAAAGTCAACTACATCATCATATTGGCCCAGAAGCATTTCAAAATGTGGAGCTAGCCAGCTTTATCATCATACAACTTTGGTGATCCAGGGCCATCTTTTTATTTAAAGAGGATTGACCTGTCTCATTTTATGAGAGGTTTCCTTTATAATAAATCTATTTTGCTTTCCACTTTTGTCTCCTCATCTTTTCTTTCAATGATATGTTTTAACCAGGGTTTGGCCCATAATAGATTTATCTTTGAGTAAGGCATTCACCATTTTTATGTGCCATCAAGTTGCTTGTAACTCACAGTGACCCTATGTACAAGAGCTCTGAAACCTGCTCTATTCTGAGCCAACCTTATCGTCTCTGACACACCTACCCCCATCATGCCAGTCACTGAGTCATCCTATCTCATTGAGGGTCTCCCTCTCTTGCGCTGTCCCTCCACCCTCCCAAGAACTATGTCCCTCTCCAAGGACTGGTCCCTCCTTGCAACATGCCCAAAGTATGTCAGATGAAGCTTCAGTATCCTTGACTCCAAGAAGCAGTCTTGTCTCACCCTCTCTAGGATAAAGCTGTTTGTTCTCCTAGACGTAAATGGTATATTCGATGCTCTTCTCCAGAACCACAGCTCAAAGACATCAATTTTTTCCTATCATCCCTAGTCACTGTCCAGATTTCTGATGCATAACAAGCAATTAAGAAGACCACGGCCTGGATCAGAAGCACCTTAGTCTCTAGAGTGATATAATTTCTCATCAGTACTCTGGAGAGGTCTCTGACAGCATTTCCCAATGCAATTTATCTTTTGATTTTCTGTCTGCTGGTGCCAAGAGTATTGATTGTGGAGTCAAGCAAACTGAAGCTGTTAACAACCTCAATCTCTTCACTGCCTATCATGATGCTGCCGTCAGCCCAGAGGTGAGAATCTCATTTTCTTGATGATGAGTTTCAATCCATATTGAAAGCTATAGTCTTTGACCTTCTGCAGTAAGCACTTCAGATCCTCCTCAGTTTCAGCATGCAAGGCTGTGTCATCTTCAAAAGGCAGGTTGTTGGTGAGTCTTCATCCAATCCTGATGCCACATTCCTCCTCATAGAGCCCAGTCTCCCAAATGATTTGTTCTGTGTATAGGTTGAAAAGATATGGAGCTAGGATGCATCCCTGGTGTACACCCTTGCCAATTTTGAATGATGCAGTGATCTGATGACTGTCTCTTGGTCCAAGTATAGGTTTCACATAAGCACAATCAAGTATTCTGGGATTCCCATTGAGCAGACCAAAATTTGGAGATTCATAAACAGTTGATCTTCTGTTGTCTCCTACCTGGTTCAATTCTTTTTTCGTGGAAGGAAGCTAAGACAGAGCAATCACTGCTTGTAAGACTTAGGAGGGGTTAATCCTTGGAGAAAGACACCTTCATGCTTAGAAGGGCTGAAGGTGTGTGAAAGAGGAAGACCCTCAACAAGGTAGACTGATGTGGTGACTGTAACAACAGGCTCAGACAAGTTGCAAAAGGCAAGAATGGCACAGGATAGGGAAGGGTTCACATTCATTATTCATAAGCTCATGAGCTGCAGACAACTCAGTGGAACATAACAATGCCACCACCACTAACATAGATGAGCAGTTTGAATCCATTAGCTGTTCTGAGGAAGACAGATGTGGCAGTCGGCCTTCCTAAAAATCGTAATATACTTGGAAACCTCATGGGGCAGTTTTATTAATTACAAGTTGGAACTGACTTAGTGGCAACAACAACTTTTGGTATGCAAAAATCTGTTTTTAGCACATAACTATCTGATGGTTAGTTCAGCGTTTGTTGAGTTTTCCCTCATCTGAAGTAGAAGGATTCACTGTTGGACAGCTCTGATTATTGTAAATACTTCTAACATTGTTGTTGTTAAATGCTGTCGAGTTGTAGGCGACTCATAGCGACCCTATGAACTTTCTTCATTTCTCCAAGTTCATAGGGTTTCCAAAGGCAAGCTATTTCAGAAGTGGTTGCCACTCCTGCGTCCAAGCTTGTTTAACATTAAGGAAATATCTATGTTCTTGTAACAGCTACTTTTTCGCTAAAATATCTATTAGGTCTCCTTTCTGTCTTTTCTTTTCCAGGCTAACCTTATCTGCTTTCTTCAATAGATTTAAACATGTATGGTTTTCAAAACCTCATTTTTCTCTCACCCTTCATTTTCTTACAATCACTTTTTAACTTAATCTTTCCTCCTTGGTGCTAATGCTGTTGTTTGAATCACATGTTTGGACCCGGGGTTCTACTGCTTAGGCAAGAAAGAACAAGAAGGCAAAGCATTCAATCTTCTTTTGAAACTAAGATCCGGGAGGATATGAATTACTAATAACCGAATTTGGTTTTTAGGATGCAGTTCCTCTTTGAAATTTGGGACAAGTGCTTCAAGCAATATTAGATAAATGTTTTAGAAATAATTTGGTTAAAACAATTTCGTATGTGGGACTGGAAAGGACGGGAAATCTCCTCCTGCACAATTAATTGCCTCTGAAAACCCACGGAAGGGTGAACTTCAATTCTACAGTCCACAACAACAAGAACAATAACAACAACATTAACATCTCCAAACTTATTAGGGAGTTATTAGAATACAAGTTAATTGATAAGTGACAATAGGTTTGTGTGCTTGGAAAAAAGTTAGAAAACTGCATGCTGCAGCCAGATGATGACAACGGTAAAGGTGGTTGCATCCTGTCAAAGTAGAACTACAACAATTAAAACCAACAAAAAGTGGGCAGAATTTAAACAAAAGAGAAACTCAGAAGTAAGACATTTTTTGCCTTATTTGGTTATCATATAAGTTATACTTATTCAACCAGAATTACCCTAGAACTTCAGTGTTCTTCTAATATAAAAATGTCTGTCCCTGCTTTGTGAACAAATGACATGGTTCTAAAATTGCACTGTTAAGCTTTAGGGGCAAAACTCCTCAAAATATGCTCCCAATTTACTTCCATATTATTCCAAACTTAAAAGTATACCACACATTAAAAAAAAAAACTATACCACACATTAAAAGCAAGTTTCTATACACTAATTTTTCCAACAGTGGAAAAAATGAAAAAGCTGTTATTCTTTTCACTTGTACCTTTATGAAGAACTAAAAAAAAAATAACAGAGAAATTATATCCTCAGTATATTAAAATTGTATTTACAATCTTATTTTCCAGTTATGTATTATAACATTGATTTAAGCTCTATTTTTTTTGTCAAGAGGAATTTTAAATTTTATATTCTATAGTTCAGCTATCTGTATCAAAAGTAGTACACATTTAAAAAAAAAGGTAGTACTTATCTATACCAGTATTATATTTTGGAAAGCTAACCTATCTTTAGACAAAAGATTGTAACTGAATTCATTATCCAAGCACTTACCTGCTAAACTACCCAGGGTAAGCATTCTGCGACCCACTCTCTCAACAAGCCAGACTCCCACGAGTGTGAAAATGAAATTTGTGAAGGCTGTAATAGAAGCCAACCATATTGCAAGTCTATCATCTTCAACACCAGACATCTGCAGAATAGTTGCACTGTAGTACCTGCAAGACAAAGCATAAAAATATTTCTACTGACAGTTAATAAAGAAACAGAATTACCCAGATGGGAGAACAGCCACTAGACACAAACAAACAAAGGGGGGAAAAACCCAAACCTCCACACTGAGTAACTACAAAAATAACCTCCTATTAACATGGCAGTTCACACAAAATGTTGACACAAGATGTTTAAGGACAAAGACCTCATCTTATTTTTCTTCTTACTACCTTAGTGTTTAGAGAGTTCTGGCGGTGTAGCCTGTAGGGAGTTGTGGAGAGAACCTAAAGAGGCCACACCTCTCTTGAAGTCTGAATTCATCAGCTCTTCAAGGGAAAAAGATAGAAATCTCCTCCCATGTGATTTACAGCTTCAGAATATCTCTTGGAGACTCAGCTTGGAGACCATTCAATGGCAATGGGTGAGTATCTTAGTGTTTAGGACTCATATGTGAGTTCAGCTGAAATGCAATTAAAGTCTGTGTACATAATAAAATATTTCATTAAAACAAAATATAGATTTGGAAAAGGAGCATAATATATAATTTAAAAACGTGCGCATTCATGATTATTTTTTTTTTCTTCAGAAAGTAACCACTGTCTCTCTGGAGACTAAGGTGCGTCTGATACAGGCCATGGTCTTCGCAATCAGTTGTTATGCATCAGAGAGTTGGACAATGACCAAGGAGGATAGAAGAAGAATTGATGCCTTTGAGCTGCGGTGCTAGAGAAGGGTATTGAGAGTACCATGGACTGCTAAGAAAACAGATTGATTCTGTAGAGGGTAAAACCAGGTGGCTCCTTGGAGGCAAGGATTCTGAGGCTCCATCTAACATACTTTGGACATGTTGTGAGGAGAGACTGGTCCTTGGAGAAGGACATCATGCTTGGGAAGGTGGAGGGACAGCGCAGGAGGGGAAGGCCCTCTATGAGGTGGATTGATTCAGTGACTGGGATAATCAAGATGGGAGTGTCAGAGACAGTGCGATTGGCACAGGACAGATCAGAGTTTAGGGCTGTTGTACATAGGGTCGCTATGAGTCGCAAGCGACTTGACGGCACATAACAACAACAACAACAACCACTAAATTGACGATATTCAGATAAAATTTACTATGACCTTTGTGTGACTGAGATGCTCTAGTAAGTGGTCTAGACTGTAAATTTAAGTTTCAATAGTGAAACAGATTGCAAAACTAGGGACAGTATAATCTAATAAATTCACTAAAATGACCAAAGATAGTATTAATTCATAAAATGCTGAGCTGTCAATACAGAGTGTGAATTAATGAACTTAAAAGAATAAAGTGAGTCCTGACATGTAATAAAGAAATGTAACACAATAGTAGACGTCTGATAAAAGGAAGGACTCTTCAAAGAAGACACAAGGATTAAGAATTTACTGGTATTTTACCTAGCATGGAGTTGACATGATGAGCATGAGAAGTCTTTCCACTCCTTACCACCATCTTTGAGAATACTCTTTTGATTCCTAAAAAACTGTGCTCATGGGTAAAGTAAATGTCTATTTTAGCACAATCTGCAATCATAATGCTCTGTATACTCATTTTATGCTAAGTAAACTCACTAGCTCTTAAAAAATGATAGATATTGTTCATTTGTTGATGTGCAGTTTGGCACAGTAAAGGAAATAGGTTTATCATAAAATTTCTTTTGGGTGGGAATATAATCATTTTATCAGGTTCTTACTTTAAAATCAACCACAAAACAAAGAGAGCAAAATACTCTTGGTGAAACATCTATGAAATGCGATATAATGTAAATCTTGAAGGCAGTGTGAAATGACAACTAGCTTTACCCAAACCATGATAGACATCACAGTTTACACATTAACCCCTGCAGTACATTTCTATGGTTAACACTCACATTTTTGAGATAAATGTCAACATTGTAATAGTATTCCAGAAACAAGTATGTTTGAAATAGTTCAAATCTTTTTTAATTCATCAAAGATTTCTGTCTACTATTTTTAAAATTAATTCTGGCTTTTCTTACGTAAAATGTTAACAATAACATGGGTTCATTCATCATCACAAGGACTTTTCTTTTTTACTTGCAAGCTAATCTTTTAAATTATTATGCAGCATGAAGATGTGTTTTCTGGTTACACTAAAAATTGTGCCAACCATTTTAAGAATCTGAAATCTGAAAGCTGTTGCAAAAAGAGAAATTCCCAGTAGAACTATTCTTTCAACATGAAACTTGAGAACACTTTGCAGTCACAACATAAACTGATAATAAAAATAATGAAAGCAAAACATTCCATCTGGACGATGTCTAACAGTTTCCAAGTGCCACTATCCATGTAATCTCATCTGATTTATAAACAGACGTGTATAACAAGGTCAACTCTATATATGTAACCACTGAAAGCTTCCAATCTGAGAAGATTAAAATAGTTGAAATGGTGAGAGAAAAATCTAAGCATTAAGAGCTGAACGTATTTACTACTTGCCATGGTATTATAGTTTGGTGTCTTCTCAATACTTCAAGAATAAGTAGATACTGCACAAAATAATTCTTACAAGGTCATAAAAAATAAACCACAACAAAGAATATTACAAAGAACAGAGGTATTCTGGTGTTTTCATTTGTGATGCAATAAAACCATGAAATAACAAGTATTAAAATGAAGGGGGGGGAAATGCGGAATGATTTCAAACAAAATAAGCTGTTCAGCCTGAATTTTAGTTAAGATGAAAAATATTGTGTGACTTAAGGAAATGAGTACTTGGCTTTTAGAGACAGAATACAACTGAAGACTAGACTGGATATGAGTAATCTTCATTCTAAGGACATCCCTTGGTATGTTGGGACTACTACCATCATGAAAATTGTGAATTTTTGCAGAGTAGAAATTAATAATGAAAACAAAACATTTCATATGAGCAGTACTTTAGGGTTTCCAAACATTACTGAAGATATGACTCCTATAATTTTCATACAGATGTGACAAGGGCTAAGGTGACCACTGAAAATATCTAACAAACTAGGAGATCACATAACCCTTTGTTAATTTCACATCTGTCTACTGACAGCATCTGATACTAAGTTATGATTTACTGTTTAAGTTCTAAAAAGTAAGCTCCCACAGATATGTGGGTAGGCTCCTAAGAAGTTTACAGTTTAGTAAGTAAATGAAATGGGAAGAAGTATTTTTAATACCACAGAAATGACCACACCAGGAACGTGATTTTTAATACGGCATAGAAAACTAGAGTAAATAATGTCACTTGAGGTGGAAGTTTCCCTTATTTTCAAGAAATTTTATGCTTGAGCTGTCTTAAAGAATTTCTAAAGGAAGTTCCAGGAGGGCATATGAACTAAAGAAAATGGCAACTATCAAAGTTACAAACGTACCAGAGAACAATATGTTGGTTTACAAAACATATGAACCTTCTCATTTTTCCCCATTTATAAAGCATCTCAGGAACAGGTCTGAGGCCTTGACCACTAATGAACGCAGACAAGATGAGCTGTGGGAGGATATCAAGAATATCATCCATAAAGAATGCAAAAGGTCATCACAAAGACTAAAGAAGAGGAAAAAATGATGCATGTCAGAAGAGGCTCTGAATATTGCACTAGAGAGCTGAGAAGCTAAAGCAAAGAGCAAAGAAAGCAGGAAGTTAAGGAGCAGAATAGATTTCAAAGGGCAGCTCAGGAAAGCAAAGCAAAATATTAAAATGAAATGTGCAAAGAGCTGGAATCAGAAAATCCAAAGGGACTAACTCACTTAGCATTTCTTAAGCTGAAGGAACTGAAGAACAAATTCAAGCCTCAAGTTACAATACTTAAAGGGATGCTATGGACAGAATATTGAATCATCCAGGAAGCATCAAAAGAAGAAAGAAACCACTCTGGAAGGCAGTTTGACATTTCCTTAAAAAGCTAAGAATGGACATTCTATATAACCTAGCTATTCCACTGTTCCAGACCAAGACAAAGGGTCGCTATGAGTCGCCTGTGACTCGACGGCACTTAACAACAATAACATCAACAGAGAGAGAGCTGAACGTATTTACTACTTGCCATGGTATTATAGTTTGGTGTCTTCTCAATACTTCAAGAATAAGTAGATACTGCTGGCCCAGTGAAGAGAAAACGATGTGACCAAGACACAGGTGGGTGACTTTTAGTTCGCGGCCCTCAGGCCAGTCTTTCATTGTTTTTGTTCAGACATTCCTCTAGGTCATATAGCCTTGGTGTACAAGTTGCCGCGGTCATCTGTGGTTGCTGTGAGGCTGAACACTGTGACACGGATGTGTCAAATGCGTTAATGGTTGGCTACCAAATGCTGACTGAGAGTGGGGTGGATTCTCCCCAGTTGAACAAGCGTGGAAGGAGAAGTGGCGTCCACTTCCATAATAGCTTGCCTCTGGAAACCCTATGAACTTGGAAAGAGGATGAAAGGCACCCAAGCGTCAAGGACTCTCCTTCATAGGGTCGCTATGAGTCGCTTGCAACTCGATGGCACTTAACAACAACAACAACAATATTTCACTGTTAGGAACAGCACCTGAGGAAAACAAGACTGAGACACAAATGGAGATTTGTACACTGACGTTCACAGCAGCATTATAGCAAAAACATGGATACAGACCAAATGTCCACCAAAAAACAACTGAATTGCAAAATTGTGGCACATTCATATGATTAAATACTATGATGCAATGATTTGAAAACTACAGTGTAACATGGGAGAGGGTAGAGAGCCACTATGTTAAGTGAACTACTTCAGGTTTATAAGGATAAATACTGCATAAGACCATTATTGTAAAAACAGAAGGATAAATAGTAGAATGTGTATATTTCTATCCACATTGCATCCAAAGATGGAAAGAGAGGAGACAGGGGGACTGAGGAGGGTAAATCTCAAGGTAGCAGAGTTTGGTGGACATACTAACAGAGTGATGGAATGAGGAAAGTTCTAGTTTGGACCTGAAAAGGTGGGGTAATGACAGGCATAAATCAGTGATGATTAA